TAAAAAAGCCTATTTCCAATCACCCATTGAAAAATTACCAGCAAATCTTTTACAGAATTGTCAAAGCCTCTCATCTACACATAAATATGTTATTAAAATCCAAACTTTCATAAAGAGCTCAGTCTATGGAGTTAGCATACCTCCTCTGAAAACGGTTAAGATGCTAACGGACTTGTTCGAATACACTAAACCATTTCTATGAAGTAAATTCAACAAGCGGGTCAAATACAAGCAAGAGAAGTGTCAGAAACAGTTGCATATGATATTTGTGCGATTTCATGGACTAAACTTACCGAAAGCACTGAAAACAGCAGCGAGAGATCGAGCATGCCGCTTGTCAGTCGCCCCGTTTCCATGGCAACTCCCTCCGCTCCAGCGTTTGATTCAGGTTTGATTGCTACTCCAAAGTTCAGCGCGCGCTCATTAAAACATGCAGAATTTACATAAATAAACATATAAAGATTTCGTAAATAAATAACTTAAATCTAATTAAATTATTATTAAATCATCAATTTAGGTTTTTTTTATATTTGGGTCAAATGGATCCTCTAAATCCAGTGTTGGGCAAGTTACTTCCAAAATGTAATACATTATATATTACTAGTTACTGTCTTTTGAAAGTAATTAGTAGTCCGTTCTCTTGGCTCAAACCTAATGGATCCTCTAAATCATGACTTTTGGCTCATCACTGAGGAATATTCTGAGCTTGCAAATACTGTTTCAATTTCTGCGGCGCCATTGACAGATCATTGCCTGATTTCATTAACTTTGACACCAGCAATAAATCATACCATTAGGAAAGACTATTGGAAGTTTAATGCAGAACTTTTAAAGGATAAATATTATTGTAGTCAAATAAGAAATTTGATTAGTAAGATTAAAAATGACTTCTCTTTAAGTTCTAATGGGATTAAATAGGAGTATTTTAATTTTAAAACAAGGGACATTTCAATTCGGGTTGCTAATCAAAAAAGCAGAGATCTGAAGCAAAGGGAGTTGAGGTTAATTCAAGAAATGAATGCCTGTTGTAATACACAAGAACTGATTCAAGATGTTGAAAAGTTACTCTCTCTTCAAGCTAAATTAGACAGTATGTATCTAATGAAAGCACAAGGAGCTTTTGTAAGGTCTCGTGCAAAATGGATGGAAGAAGGAGAGACGCATAAGGCTTATTTTTGTCGGTTAGAAAAGAGGAGACAGCAAAGTAATGCAGTTCATAGTTTAATTATTAATGATGAGGTAATCACAGATCCGAAATTAATATCTGAGGAAATATACTCGTTTTATAGTAATATTTACTCTTCGTCATACTCTGAAAATAATGCCAAGGAATTTCTTGAAAAGGTAAAAGATTTTATTCCACAGATTGATATTGAATTTAAAGAATTGTGTGATGGAGACCTGAGGTTAGAGGAACTTGAAGCTGCTAAAATAAAAAAATGCATTTGGGTAAATCTCCTGGTCAGGACGGTTTGACTACTGATTTTTACAAATTCTTCTGGGAGGATATAAAAGATTTGCTATTTAAAGCTTTAAAGGAGTGTTTTGATTCTAATTCTTTACTTCCAACTATGAGACAGGGGTTAATTATTCTCATTCCAAAGTCAAACAAAGATAAAAGAATTATTGAGAATCTGAGACTGATTACCCTACTTAATGTTGATTATAAAATTCTTACATCTGCAATTGCTAATAGGTTAAAATTTAGGTTGAGTCAAGTTATAAGTGAAACTCAATCTGGTTTATCTGGTTTTAGGTTAATACACAACAACATTAGACTTGTCTTAGATTTAATTGATTATGGATATTTAATTTATTTAATTAGGTTTGTTTTGTTTCTTGATTTCTATAAGGCATTCGATACTGTAGAACATAAATTCATTTTACATGCATTGAAGTTTTTTGGTTTTGGTCATAAATTTGTTAAATTAATAGAGATGTTGTACAAAGACATAAATAGTTCAGTATCGTTACCATTTGGGACTTCTAAGAGGTTTAACATTAATAGAGGTATTAGACAAGGGGATCCGTCAAGTCCGTATTTATTTATTTTAATAGCTGAACTGTTAGCAATTTATGTGAAAAATAGTAAAGATATCAAGCCTTTGAATGTTTTAGGGAGTCAGTTATTGATAAGTCAACTAGCAGATGATACCACCCTGTTTCTTAGAGATGTAGAGCAGATTCCAGTTGCCATTAATCTGGTGTCTCATTTTTCAAAAGCTTCTGGTCTGCAATTGAATTTTAAAAAGTGTGAGCTGATGGCACTTCATAGTCATGCTGAATCTCAATTGTTCAATATTCCATTAAAAAATGAGATAAAATATTTAGGAATTGTTATTACTAAAGACCCTAAAATTAGAGAAAAAAGTAACTTGATTGATAATATGAAAAAAAGTCAAAATATTTTAAATATGTGGGTTCAAAGGGATATTTCTATATTTGGCAGAATTCTCATACAGAAGTCAGAAGCACTTTCCAGGTTGATTTACCCAGCATTTTCTTTGAGTATATCTGATAGGTGGATAAAAGACATTAATCAAATTCAGTATAAATTTATTTGGAAAAACAAGCACCATTATATAAGAAAATCAGATGTAGTGAAGCCGATCAGTGAGGGAGGGTTGAACGTAATTGATTTCGATGTTATGAATGAGACGCATAAGGCTTATTTTTGTCGGTTAGAAAAGAGGAGACAGCAAAGTAATGCAGTTCATAGTTTAATTATTAATGATGAGGTAATCACAGATTCAAAATTAATATATGAGGAAATATACTCGTTTTATAGTAATATTTACTCTTCGTCATACTCTGAAAATAATGCTAAGGAATTTTTTTAAAAGGTAAAATATTTTATTCCACAGATTGATATTGAATTTAAAGAATTATGTGATGGAGACCTGAGGTTAGAGGAACTTGAAGCTGCTAAAATAAAAAAATGCATTTGGGTAAATCTCCTGGTCAGAACGATTTGACTACTGTTTTTTTACAAATTCTTCTGGGAGGATATAAAAGATTTGCTATTTAAAGCTTTAAAGGAGTGTTTTGATTCTAATTCTTTACTTCCAACTATGAGACGGGTTAATTATTTTCTCATTCCAAAGTCAAACAAAGATAAAAGAATTATTGAGAATCTGAGACCGATTACCCTACTTAATGTTGATTATAAAATTCTTACATCTGCAATTGCTAATAGGTTAAAATTTAGGTTGAGTCAAGTTATAAGTGAAACTCAATCTGGTTTTATTAAAGGAAGGTTAATACACAACAACATTAGACTTGTCTTAGATTTAATTGATTATGGATATTTAATTAAGGATGATGGGTTTGTTTTGTTTCTTGATTTCTATAAGGCATTCGATACTGTAGAACATAAATTCATTTTACATGCATTGAAGTTTTTTGGTTTTGGTCATAAATTTGTTAAATTAATAGAGATGTTGTACAAAGACATAAATAGTTCAGTATCGTTACCATTTGGGACTTCTAAGAGGTTTAACATTAATAGAGGTATTAGACAAGGGGATCCGTCAAGTCCGTATTTATTTATTTTAATAGCTGAACTGTTAGCAATTTATGTGAAAAATAGTAAAGATATCAAGCCTTTGAATGTTTTAGGGAGTCAGTTATTGATAAGTCAACTAGCAGATGATACCACCCTGTTTCTTAGAGATGTAGAGCAGATTCCAGTTGCCATTAATCTGGTGTCTCATTTTTCAAAAGCTTCTGGTCTGCAATTGAATTTTAAAAAGTGTGAGCTGATGGCACTTCATAGTCATGCTGAATCTCAATTGTTCAATATTCCATTAAAAAATGAGATAAAATATTTAGGAATTGTTATTACTAAAGACCCTAAAATTAGAGAAAAAAGTAACTTGATTGATAATATGAAAAAAAGTCAAAATATTTTAAATATGTGGGTTCAAAGGGATATTTCTATATTTGGCAGAATTCTCATACAGAAGTCAGAAGCACTTTCCAGGTTGATTTACCCAGCATTTTCTTTGAGTATATCTGATAGGTGGATAAAAGACATTAATCAAATTCAGTATAAATTTATTTGGAAAAACAAGCACCATTATATAAGAAAATCAGATGTAGTGAAGCCGATCAGTGAGGGAGGGTTGAACGTAATTGATTTCGATGTTATGAATGGTACCCTTAAGTTGAGGTGGCTCCAAGACTTCCTTAGAAATACACATTCAGTTTGGTTTAGCTTTTCTTCTAAAATTTTTGATTCTCTTGGGGGCATTGATTTCCTTTTAAGGTGTGATTTTGAGCCATCAAAATTAAAGTGTAAATTATCATCTTTTCATAGTCAGGTATTATTATATTGGAAATTAATATACAAACACAACTTTTCGCCACATAGTTGTTCTTTGTGGAATAATAAGTGTATCCTTATTAAGAGGAAATCTGTGTTTTTTCAAGACTGGATGGACAAAGGTGTCTGGTCCATTGTACACATTATGGATGGGGATGGAAATTTTCTTGGTTATGATGTTTTTTGTGAAAAATACAATATTATTTGTACTAAGGAATTATATGTTTCTTTGTTGAAAGCTGTTCCTGCTGGTTTGGTTCAGCTGATTAAAGGTGCTTTGTGTTATTCACCTGTGATACCAAGATTAGGTAATCTAATCATCTCTGGTATTAATTTTACAGAGCAGAGCTGTAATAATAAGGTTTTAAGAACATTAGTAAATACACAGACTTTCCCTTCTAAAGTAAAGAAGAGACTCCTTGTCTATGATTTTCCTGAAGATAAAGTGGTTCAAATTAGAACAAGATTTCTCTCTTTTCCACTTCTACCAAAGGTAAAAGAAGTTCAGTTTAAAATTATTAACGATATTTATCCCTGTAATGAGTTCCTCAGACACAGGTTTAATTTGGATTGTAATGGATGCACCTTTTGTGAAGCAGAAATAGAGTCATTGGAACATTTGTTTTATTTATGCAAATTCTCAAAAAAATTATGACCTTTATGCTTGGTTAAGTTTGAAGTATGTAATACCTGACTTTGATTTTAAAACTGTAAAATATTTGTCCTTTTGTTGGAATTGTGATGTTGAATTTTTGGTTAATAATATTGTGATTTTGGCCAATTACTTCATTCATAAATGCAGATTCTTTAATAAATTCTTCAAGCAATAATAAAAAAAATACTTCCTTCTAAAAGCCTCGTAACATTAACATTTACAATGTCTTTCTTTAGCATTTGAAACATTTCCCTTCTTTCCTCCTCATATTTCCTACATTCCAATAACACATGTAACACTGATTCCGTTACCTCACAATTTTCACACAAACCTGTTGGATGTTTG